AGTGTTGTCATGTTAAGGCATGTATGGTTGTGATGTCCAGGTGGGGTTGGCTCCCTACAGGGGGGGGGGGGAGTTTCGTTCAACCTATTTCTCATCTTGTCTATTTGATTCAGGGGTGTTGTGTTGTGTGTGTGTCCCATAGTTTCCAGGCTTCGATCCAGTAGGGCTTCCCTTGTCGTGTTTTCCTTGCCATAAGTTCATAGGTTTTAGTGGATTCTATTGCTTCGATGCATTGTTTTATTGTTGGGGGAGTTGTTTGTTTCCACTGTCGGCTGATAGTTGTGAGGGCTGCAATTATAATGTGGTACAGTAGGTACCGGATGTGTGTTTATGGTACCTGTGGGAGCAGCAGTAGTAGAAATGTTTCTGGTGAGTTTGATAGGCGCATTCCTGTGCACCGAACTGTCAGTGTTAGGACTTGGGACCAGAAGTGTCGAAGTGATGTGCATTGCCACCATATGTGTATCATGGTACCTTTATCCTCTGTGCATCTCCAGCATGTATCGGACGTGTCTGGGAATATGTGTTTTAGTCTCGTGGGTACTAGGTACCATATGTAGAGAATCTTGCGGGATAATTCTGTATGTGTCGTTGAGAGGGACATTTTTTTGTGGGTGCAATATATATTTTGCCATTGTTCTTCCGTGAGTTGGCGTCCAATGTCTTGCTCCCATGCTGTGTGAAAGGAGGGTGGTTTAGTTTGTGCCTGCGTATGTTCTGAGGTGTATATTATGGAGATTAGTTTTGTTGCTGGCTTTGTCTTCATACATATCTTGATTAAAGCCGTCCAATGTGCGGTTGTTGGCTTTGTTTGTTGTGGTGTTGGTTGGGCTAGCACCCATGATTTAATCTGTCTATAGGAGAAGGTCGCTGTACTTGGCAATTTGAATTCTGTCTGGAGGTCTGGCAGCGTTTTGAGTTTATTTCCTTGCACTACTTGTGATATGTTTTCCACACCATGTCTGTGCCACAGTTTATAGTTAAAATCCGGTATAAGTGAATGTAGCGCTTCTAAAGGCAGTGTTGGAGAGAGTATTGCTGTTTCTCTAAGGGTTAATGCGGTTGTAGGTAGTAGTTCAGAGAATTTTGGCCTATGGTTTTTTGGTAGCCACGCCAGTAGTGGAATAGAGAGTCCCTTCGCATGGTTTTTCTCTATTTCAGCCCAAGTTGTGGGGTCTCGTCGGTTCGATATTACTATCAGAGGGGTTATGTGGGCAGCTCTGTAGTATCCTGTTATTTTGGGAAGTCCCATCCCTCCCTGTGCGGATGGTCTCTACAGGGTTGTTTTGGCTACTCTAGGTTTTTTGTAGTCCCAGACGTAGGTGTTTAGGTCGTTCTGCAGTTCTAAGAGATATTGTTTTGGTAGTTTGATTGGCAACGTGCGGAACAAGTACTGGATTTTTGGTAGAATTACCATTTTTGTCGATGCTATTTGGCCCATCCATGAAATGTATTTGCCCCTCCAGCTTTGTAGGAGGGCTTTGATGTCTTTTAGCAGCTTTAGATAATTTGCTTCATATAGTGTGCTTGACGTGGGTGTAAAGTTTACCCCTAAAAATTTGATGTGATCTTGCCTCCAGTCGTAGTTGAAGTTTGTTTTCAGGTTTGCTAGCTATGTGTGGTATATTGATTCCTAGAGCTAAGGTTTTTGCAATGTTTAGTTTATAGTATGAGCATTTACTAGTCGTCGAGGATTTTGTGAAAGTTGGGTAGGGACACATGTGGTTGTTCAAGGGTCAGTAGGATGTCATCTGCGAACAGTGACATTTTATATTCTCGTCCATTTACCCTAATCCCGTGTATGTCTGAGTGTTTGCGTATGAGTTGGGTGAGGGATTCTAGCGCTAGGATGTAAAGTAATGGGAAGAGTGGGCAACCCTGCCTCGACCCATTAGAGATGGTGAATGGTTTTGAAATGAATCCTCCATTTACTACCCGGGCTGTTGGTGATGAATATAGTGCTTTTACTAGGGACTAAGAATTGGTGTGGGAAGCCGAATTTATGAAGGACCGCTATTAGGAAAGGCCAGTGTAGTCTATCGAAGGCCTTTTCCGCATCGAGAGATAGTAGGACTCCAGAGTTTTTTTTATTTTGCATCTCGTATAAGAGATTTAGGGTTTTCCTCGTGCCATCTGCGCCCCCTGCCTTGCCCCCACAAATCCCACTTGGTCATTCCCTATAATTGTGGGGATCATTTGTGTCAACCTATTGGAGATGATTTTGGCCAGTATTTTTACATCTGTGTTTAACAGGGAGATAGGCCTTAGATTTTGACATTGGTTTGGTAGTTTGCCTGGCTTGGGGAGGGTGGCGACATGTGCCATAAGCATCTTTGTTGGTAGCGTCCCTGTCTGTATCGCGCCTTGTAGGACTTTTTGTAAATAGGGGGCCATAATTGGGGCGAACCGCTTATAATATATGTTGGTCAGTCCATCCGGGCTTGGTGATTTCCCTTTTGGGAGGGAGCGAATAGTATCCAGTGTTTCATTTATAGTTATAGGGTTTCTAAGCACAGTTTGTTGATCGTTTGTAAGTGTGGGTAGCCCGACAGATGTAAGAAATTCATCTATCTCTTGTGTGTTGGAGTGGTGGGTCTGCGTTGAGGTTATATAAAGAGTGATAGTAGTCTGACATTTTGTTATTAATATCTTGAGAGTTATGGAGTTTGTCTCCTGCGTTGGTAATGAGGAATGGTATTTTAGAGTTTGCTTGTTTCTGTCTGAGTATGTTTGCTAGCTGTTTCCCTGCTTTATTGCCTTGGGTGTATGTGTTCATTTTCAGTTTAGTGAGGATAAATGCTGTTTTTTCTAGTGACATTGCATTAATTTGTTTTGTAGGAGGTCTATGTGTGTTCTTTTACATTGGCGGTTGAGGTGTGAGGCTCGGCTAATCAGATGTCCCCTTATGACTGTTTTGTGGGCCTGCCAGATAGAGATTGGTGAGACTTCTGAATTGTCGTTTAGCTGAAAGAAGTCCTTCAGAATTTCCGCTAGTGTTGCCGTGTATGATTTGTCATGCAAGAGAGTATTGTTTAGCCTCCATGGCGGTCTTCCTCTGTGCTGGTATTAGTTGTGCATAGTTAAAGTCACTGGTGCAAGGTCAGACCATACTATGTTCCCAATGTTGCCGTCTTCCATTTGTGGGAGTAATGTACCCGATATAAGGATGTGGTCGATTCTTGAGTAGGTTTGGTGTACTTGCGATAGGAATGTGTATTCTCTTGCTGTTGGGTTTTGTGTTCTCCAAGCGTCGTACAGTCCATATTCCTGTATGAGCATTATGAGTGCCTTGTTTGCATTCTTCGTTTTTTTGTGCCTGAGTGAGGTGCTAGGTGTTGTCGAGTCTGTATGGGAGTCCATGGTATGGTTGAGGTCCCTGCATTTGATCATGGGGGCTGTTGAGTCTGTCGGTATTTTATTTAGGATTTTGTGCAGGAAGTTGCGCTGATGGTCGTTGGATTGTTATTTATGATACACTGTAGTATCACAAATCTGCCCTGGCTGTCTGTTTTGACCCGAAGTGTTTCTACCATTAGGGAGTTGTGTAGGAAGATGGAGACTCCTCTGGATTTTGATGTGTGTGTTGCATGGTATTGTACTGGGTACTCTCTGGTGGCGAATGTAGGGATCTTGTTCGTGACAAAGTGGGTTTCTTGCACGCAGACAATATCCGCCTTGACATGGTTTAAGTCTTCTAGTAGTATGCGCCTTTTATGTGGGGTGTTAAGGCCCTTATAATATATATAATCATGGTGCTAGCAGTGTGTGTTGTTACGTTAGTTGTGGTGCTGGTGTGTCGGTGTGGCAAGGCCGTTCCGCAGGTGTTGCTTGTCAGCTGGGGGAGGAGTATGTTTGGGAGGGGGGGTGCGGTAGTGGGGTGGGTAAGGGTTATTTACAGGGGACCTTAGGTCTGGTACTCTAATCGTACCATGGAGATTGGAATGGGCTTCCAAATGAGTGGCTAAGTGGGCTCCAGTTAAAATTGCTTTGGAGCTGAGACCATCAATGAGGTTAGTAAAAGCATGTAACAACATAAACTATTGCAACATTAACTAAGCATTTGTCAGTACAGTTTCCTTTTGATAGGCATGCAAGTAATATTGTGTTGGACAAGCATTGTTATTTTAGCTATGTTATTATTCCATACATATAGTTAAACTGCTATACGTTGTACAATTAGAGGTTGTATGCCTCCGTTTGCTTTCACATACATAAGCAATGTTTCTCTGGGGGCTGTGTTTTGCCCTGACATAGGATGTCTCCATTAGGTGCCCCGGTGTTGTTAGGGCTTCAATCGTAAGTATTATATTCTCGTGGATGGTTTTTATGGGGGTTAAACTAAATGTGTGTGCTTCAATTGCATGCTAGTTTCTTGCATTGTGGACTCTGTTCACGGAAGTGGTACGCATACCAACTGGAGTTGCTTCCAGGTGGGGTCTAATCTACAGTAATCTGATCTATTCTGCAGCCCAATCGCATGTCAGCTAGGGGTGCTTTGTCTCCAACCCCCCCACCTAGTTCGGCAGTTGCCCTTAATTTTGTACCTTTTTGCTTGTTGCGCTTTGGTACTTTTGTTAAACATTTTCACCTGAGCTTGTATGATTTGTCAGCGCCAAAGTGGGCTGACGTGTGGTGCTGGGAGCATACAGCCGACCCAGGTCAGGGCCGGAGGTGTACTCTTTAATATAGAACAATGTGCGGTGTGAAATATATATTTGCATTAATCATGCCTCATATAGTCACTGGGTCTTCAATACTGAATCGGTTTAGTCCGCGTTCCTGTTGCGGCTTGCTCGAGGGGACTTTTGCTGCATCTCCGCGGGAGGGTTGTTGCTGAGACCCCATCTAGTGAGCACTGTTATCCCTTCTGCTTGGGTCGTGATGTATATGGTTTCCCCGTTTCTGGTGAGTATTATTTTTGTGGGGAACCGTATCGCGTAATCCTGTGTGAAGGGGAGGAATTCCCTCCTGCGTCCTAGGGTGTCCGCCGACATGTCCACCATAATACGCACTATGCGCTTTGCTGCGATGCTTCCTGAGAATCGTTTCCTTTATGTGGTAGTAGTGTATTCTCATCAGGTCGTCCCGGGATGTTGCTTCAGGTATATGTTTCGGTTTTGACACCCGGTGGGCTCTGTTGACCAGGAGCATGTCTGTGCGGACATCCGGGGCATAGGCATTGAGGAGGCCGTGTACGTAGGCTGGCAGGTCATCAGGTAGGATGGTCTCTGGGACTCCCCGCAGCCTCAGATTGTTGCGCCGGGCCCTGTCCTCCTGATCTGCTACTCGGGCTTCCATTTGTTCCATTTGATTTTGTAGGGCCCGTAGGTGCCCAGACATATCCATTTGTGTGGAGGCCAGCTCTTCCTGTTGCTGCTCCAGGGAGGTGGTCCTGGTAGACAGATCTCTCACATCCCTTTTGATCTGTTCCGCCGTGGTTTGCCATGTGCTTATTAGCTTTGTTGCCATTCCCTCCATGGTTTTTCAAAGTATCCTCGTGTGAGGTGTTCTGCAGTTTGAGGTATTTCAGATGTTGCTTGCAGCATCGTGGTTTCGGGGTCATCCGCGCCATCTTGGATGGCCGCCCGTGCGGTCTCGTTTGCCGTCTGTGTTTTCTGTCCAAAGAAGCTTATTTTTTCTGCTTTTGTGGCAGATTTCTTCATTTTTGAGTTAGCCATTTTGTTGTTAGTAGTTTCCGTGGTTTCAGCTAGGATTTGGGTTAAATTAGAAGGAGCCCTTGTGATGGAGCAAATTACTGAGCGTCCATCTTGCTCGGCGGTTAGCCACGCCCCACCGCAACCCCCCTTCTCTAATGGTGATGTATAACTTAAGCTGAATATCTAGATAATTAAACTGTTTCCTCAAGCTGAATGTGCACTATAGATTAAATGTTATTACTTATTAATTAAGTCTATGTTAATCAATAACATAGACCTTCGTCTTGCATCACAAGAGCACCGAAACGCGCGTCGGGTTGTTTTTTTTGGGGGGGTCTCTTTTCCCCTCATTCTCTCACTTATAGGGCACTCTGTCACAATGTGCAGGTAGGTAACATTCTAAGTATGGCTCTGCACATTTAGCACGTTTTTTCACCATTCACTTAACCTCTCTTTTTTGTCTTGTACCTATTAATATGTGGCATACAATATTATAGATACATCTTTGGATACACTTTATCTATTTAATTATTCTGTAATCATTCTATATGTGGCAGATATCATTATAGACACACTTTCTATATATCCAATACTTAGTGTCTTTTTACTCTTTTCTGCCTATTTAGTATCAAGTGTCCAAATATGAAAGTAACTTGGCATTATACTTTATATAATGCTATACGTTGAGCTCTACTAGGTATAAGCAAGTCCTCTATGTCTCTTATTTTTTATTTTTACTGACAGTAGTCTGCAGTCACAGATATTGACCTATTAAGGCTTATATATTAAAGTCTAAACCTGTGAACCTCAGCGATTATCTTTAGAGACATTAGGAAGGGAGTTTTTGCCATTTGGCAGTTATTTTCTACTTCCGTCTGACCCATTTGTTAGTATTCTCTATAACTGTATTTCTTCACTTTATATACCTTTACCTATTATTTTCTATAGCATCATTATTATTCCAGTGGATACTCATATATCTGTTATTTTGAGTATCTTATATTTCTTTCAATTAGGGGTTATGCCACAAGACACAACTGGAGTGTCTTACAATGTGTGATCTTCTTCAGGTCAAGTGGATTAGTCTTTTCTTTAGACAGCCACTGCCTGTAGACGGTTTCTCTTTTTCTTTTTGATACTAAAATTTGCAACAAGGTTGATGTTCCAGGAAGAATAAGCCAAATGGAAATGATTTAGGTAATTAGAAAAATGGTCAGAGCTGTGGCAACTGACATTTAACGTAGATAAGTGCAATTATAATTAATGCATCCTGGGTTTGAAAACCCAAGGGCAGAATATAGAATATTTGATAACCTACTAACCTCAACATCTGAGGAAAGGGATTTAGGAGTAATTATTTCGGATGACTTAAAGGTAGGCAAATAATGTAATAGAGCAGCAGATTTTAGGTAAGTCAAAACAGAGCCAAAGTCAAAACACAGAAAATCAAGATCAGGAACGCACTCTTGGATAACCATAGGCATGAAACCACGACAGGGCAATGAGCAAGAGGAGAATTGGTTTTAAATAACCCTCCTGTGGATCCAATTAGCTGTAATCGGCTTTTGACCCCGAAGGCAACTACCAGGTTTCCATGTGAATGATTGCTGCTCAGCACAAACCCTCCTGTGGATTTGATTGGCCATGACCGGCCTTTGACCCCAAAAGTAATTACCAGGTTTCCATGTGCATGATTGCTGCTCGGCACAAACAACCTGTCAGGACGGTAATGTTGCTCAGCACAAACTTTTCCTGTCAGGACAGTAAATGCCATTAACCACATTTTTATGTGCAGATGAATATGTGACAGAGGGTAGTGGACGCATGGAATAGCCTTCCAGCTGAAGTGGTAGAGGTTACCACATTGAGGGAGTTAAAGCCTGCGTGGGATAGGCATAAGGCTATTATAGACTCAAGATAAGGCCAGGAACTAATTCAACGATTTCTTATCTGCTTTCACATTCTATGTTTCTGTGTTTCTATTGTGTGTCTCTATGTGTATCTGTGTGTGGATGTAGATGTGACAGTGCATATATCGCTATGTATGTGCTAGCGTGTGTCAATGTCTGTATTTGTGTGTGCCACAGTGTGTTTATGTGTGTGTTAGTATGTGTGTAAGTGTTTCTGAGTGTGTGTGGATGTGCCAGTGTGTGTGTATCTGTGTGTCAGTGTGTGTATATATCAGTGTGTGTATGTGTCAGAGTGTATCAATGTGTCAAGGTGTGTGTATGTGTCAATGTGTGAGCATGTGTCCATTTGTGAACTTGTCAATGTGTTTGTATGTGTGTATCTGTTTGCTAATGTGTGTGTATATATCTTTGTAAATATCTTTGTGCATACGTCCCAGCAATCAAACACAACATGCAAACACATCCCTTAGAACATAAACATTCCATACAAACAGACCCCTGAATTCAAATCCAAAGTTAGATATAAACACACCGCTTCACTCAAACACCAAGACAACTCTACATGAAACACACCCCTGTATTAAAATGCAAAAAATATATACATACACCATTCTACAAATAAAAGCACACCTGCATTTAAAATCCAAAACTACATACAAACATACACCCCTGAATTCAAACCCAAACACTAAACAAAAGTACACAACTGCATTCCAATGGTAACAGTACCTACACCCATGCATGCAAACACATACTCTATACAAAAACATGCGTACATTCTATATTGAAGAAGGCCCTGACTCCCTCTGTATGAAATTGTGATGATACAATAAAGAAGAAGGACCATTGTATTTCCACATCATTCCAGCTGTGCTGCATCTTTTTTTGTGGACATTGGACTTTTTTTGTCAACATTTTCATGATCCATGTCAATTTTGTAAGCATGTTGTTCTATAAATAATGATAATAAGAATATGTGGGCATTGGCAGACTGTGCTGGATATGAATAAGTATTAATTATTTTATATATAAACACATTTTTAGCCTTTGGGTTCCACTGGCAGTTTTACCACTAGTGGTATTACCTCATTAATGGGGTTAAATTAAGCAGGAGGACCCACAGTCTGCACTTGGGTTGGTTGGCCCTACCCAAAACATAATTTAATTTATAGTTGATTGTTCCTGGTTCACTGAAAGTCCTGCCTCTTACAATACTCTGCCTCTCCCTTCTGCATCATGTAGAGCTGCTTGATAGGCATGTACTGGGTGCATGCAGCAATCAGCTGTCATCTTAATTGAGCTTAGAGACAGTGAGACATTTTCACTAGGTGCAGGGCAGGATCTCTGTCTGTGCAATGTAGAGATGGGTTATGCGCTTAAATTGTAATTCTGTCCCATCAACACACCAACCTGCCTATGAGAGGCTTAACAGCCTCTAAGCTGCATAAAGAATAAATCTCTCACTACAAACCCCCTGCACAAGCCTTCTCAATCACGCTACAGGAGCAATGTGATGGAAGAGAAAAAGAGATGCAATAATAGAAACAAGAAGGAGAAATAAAAACACCATTGGGTTTGAGAGTAAGTTTTTAGACTAGCTAATAATTATGAAAAATGCAATGCAGAAACATCTGATGTGTCACAGGTAGACATTGTTTTGAAGACTACATTTGTAATAGTCTAAGTTCAATATACTACCTCACACCACACACAGAATTTCATTCATGAAACCCCCACATTCTTTTTATTGCAATTTTTCTTGTAATGTATTTTTTTTTTATTTGAGTGCTGGTTTTGCTTTGTTATTTCACAGAATTTAATGTAACTTTGATGTTATTTATATTTTACAGAGTAAGCACAGTATAACCTTTGGAAACAAATTTTTTGGAACATTTTTTTTTCCCCTGAGGTTATACTGTGCTTGCTCTGTAAAATATAAGTAACAGTTGTAATTAAAATTATTCAACCCCCATTAAAATTTACAAACTTTCAGCTGTTTGCTATGAACAAATCAAAGAAAAAGTAATTGACATAGCTCAACACAACAAATGCTTCAAGTGGTTTTCTCAAATTCAACTGAAGATGCAACTTATAATGACTTCTCCAGTCTCCGAATTATTCAACCGCTTCATGTCAAGCATATTTAATAGAGCACCCTTTGCTGCTATGACCTGCTGCAAACTAGATGCATAGCCAGACACCAGCTTCTGGCAGCATTCTTGAGGAATTTTAGAACATTGCTCATGAGCAATGGCCTCCAGTTCAGTAATATTTGTGGGTTTCTTCAAATCCCACCAGAGATTTTCTATGGGGTTCAAATCAGGTGACTGTGATGGCCACTGTAGAAATTTTTAGGACTTCTTCTGCAACTAAGCCTTGGTGGAATTTGAGGTATCCTTGGGATCATTGTCCTATTGGATTTTATTCAGCGGGGGGTTGAATAATTTTGAGACTGGAGAAGTCATTATGAGTTGCATTTGCAATTTAATTTGGGGAAACCACTTGAAGCCTTCCTTGTGTTGAGCTATTTCAATTGCTTTGGTTTGATTTGTTAATTGCAAACATTTGAAAGTCTGTAAACTTTGACAATAAACCTAATTTTCAATGGGGGTTGAATAATTTTGATTACAACTGTATCTATCTATAATATATATATATATATATATATATATATATATATATATATAGAAACTATACAATTTCTGGCACTCTTCCCAAATAATAATACATACCAGGTGCTTCTCTGTGCAAAATACTATAAACAAAGCAAAAAATGAGAGCACTCCATGGATTTGGTAAATCAAATTACTGTATTCAAATAGCACAAAAAAAATCGACGTTTCGACCGT